ATATGTAAGTGAAGACATATAAAAAAAAATGTTTTTTCATAATTTCACACTAAGTTCCATAAAACGCGGAAACATATTTCAGAGATTTAGCAATCTTAATCTGTTTTAAACAATTTGTTACAATTTTCCGTTAAAAGAAAGATGATTGAGTAAATAAAATGAAAATAATTTTTTTTTTGTTTTTAATACATGTTTTTAATAATAAAAAATTTTTTTCTTATATGTACATTAATTATTTGTAAATAAGATCGCAAGTACGTGGGGTGTTCGAAGAGTTTTGCACTTGAAAATGCTGGAGATGCTTCATAAAAGAGATATATATTAGTTAATATTTAGAATGCATACTAATATAAATGCTACATTATTTATAGTGCACTGTCCAACAAGTGACCCCACTGATGTGAAGGATTAGTCGAAGTAGACCACGCAGCTTTTTGGGTCCTTTTTCGTCCTTCGATTCTCGGATGTTTATAAATGCTATATAATATAATATAAATGCTAAATCAAATGTTAAAAATTTCAGCTGGTCTTATACTTAGAAAAATATGCCCTAACCACATACTAGTTCAAGTGGTAAAGAGATATAAAAACCAACAAGTGGTATGGTTTCTAAAATAGATATCTCTTTTGGTAGACAATACCACTGTAACTAAAATTTTTTATAATTTTTTGGACTGGCCTCTTTTGACTAAACATTTGTTTCAAATACAACAGTGTTGACTGATGATGGATCTCTTCAAGTAAATTTGCACAGTAGAGTACACTCAGAAAAATATGCTCTAACCACATATGTTACTAGTTACATTAAGCTGATCACTTGGTTAGAAAAATTTTAGCTCATGTGACAAAAAAGTCTAACAAGTGTTATGGTTAAATCAACATGTTGCGATTAGTAAGAATATTTTGACCTGCGATTTAGTTAAAATCTGTTTAAATTAACTAAATTATTTTTCTAAGTGTATGTTAATATTAAATAAGTGATCGATGTCAAGTTTAACAATTTTAACAAAAGTACCAAATTTATTAGAGTAGAAAAAATAAATAAATTTGAAACTAGGTTTACACGTATAATTTGGTGTATAAAAATCTATATCAGCATTGCAGAAGTCACATTTCCAAAGTGTATGTATCTAATAATATTTTTTCAACTACCATTTGGTAAGCGAAGCCATAATTTATTTTTAGTTGATAACCCAGCTTAATACTTAGTAGTCAGTATAGATAAACTTCAGTAAGTAGACCCACTTTATGGATATTCATGCAATGTGCGTGTATAAGCATGGCGGTTAATATTTTCTAACTGCCACACAAGGCATCTAAGCCGAAGAAGTAGCTGACTTATGGATTGTCGCCATCACAAGCCACCTTCGCTTTTATGCAGAACATCAATTTCGAAATATGTCTGCATCATATAAGCAACAAAAAAAAAAAAAAATAAATAAATAAAAATAAAAGCAAAATATATAAAAATATAAAAGTAAAAATTTATCGCTAATGTTGACTTTCAGGAATTAAATTAAAGAAAATGAAGGACTCGTTAATCGCAACTTGCTTCCAGAGATTTCAGTTACTGTGATGTGAACAGAACAGCATTAGTCTTTGGGAATGCATCTGAACCAGAAACCGGTATAAATTTACTTTAATTCAGTTTATTTTCCTTTTTCTCTTGAGTAAGTTTTATTAAAATCTGAGGTTTGTGTGTGTGCCGGCATTTAGAGCGAGTATTTGGCTAACTCGCACACAGTACGACAGTACGGAAAAATGTTAAATATATTTTATTTATAATTTTCACATGATGCATAAAATGCACAATATTCAGAATATTGTTTGTCCGGGAGTTCATGCTGCATATGGACATACGCATGGACCGCGTATCTTTAATTCAAGTAGAGGTGCAGAAAGCGCGCGCGCTTCCTTCGTTAACACGCATAATTAATGCTAAAAATAATGCACGCAAATACGGGCAATAATTTTTGGAGCGGCGAAACTGCACCGCACCTTGCCCTGGAACACTAGACCTGTAGGTTTCAATATGCGTAGAACTTAAAAAATGCTCATATTAATTAATGTTGAAAAGATTAAATGCACTCTAAAAGGATCTCGTTGCATACGTTACGTTCTGCAGAGGGAAGTGCTTTTACTTACTTTGAGTTCTGCTTGCAGATATTTCTACATATTTTTTTCTGGCTTTTATATTTGAAAAATTTATTTACTAAATTTCGCGTGTTCATTGCTTTAATTCCATTATTAATTTCAGTAGATATAAAATAATTGTTAAAGCTTGGGCTTGCAGGGATTTTGTTAATACGTATATTAATTAACAATGTGCAGTGCAGGTACATAAGGGTAATCAATATATATCTTATAAGGTTTAAATTAGATACTCGACGCATTTGATAGAAGTTCGTGTTTTCACAAGTACCATACATACACATATTCATTAAATTACTCTTAGATTACAATATACAGTCAAACATCTCATAACTCGAAGTACCATTTTGCAATGAAATGGTTCGACTTATAGAGACTTCGAGTTAAACAATTTTTTGGAATCGCATGTAATTTGCTCTCTAAACCCTGTTGCACTCTATTTCGAAAATTTGAGTTATAGAAATTTGATTGTGTTGTATATATTATACACTGAAGATGATCTACGAAGAAGTCCAAGTTATCTTTTTGATTATAATTTGTTTTTTTTTCTAAAAACAAACAAAGATTTTAACAACAACTTAGTAGGTTAGGTTAGGTTAGGTTATACCGGTGATCCCTAGTGGATCCACTTAGGTCTATTGGCCCATTGTGATGCCGTATATAAATAATAAAAACCTCAGGGTTTAAAACCACCTAGAACCTTTTGCGAAGCATAAAATGCTATTTAAAGCCCGATCATGTAACTGGTCCAGGTCCTCAAGGAAGGGGGCACCTAGAGTACTAAATCGCCGACGTGCATGAGCTGGAAAAAAACACAAAATATGAGATGCGCTCTCATCGTCCTCCCCACAGCTACGACAGATTTGGTTGAAAGGAAGACCTAGTCTTCTAGCATGGTTCCCTAGTTTACAGTGTCCTGTAGTCAACCCTACCAGAAGACCAATGTCCTTGCGGTACATCTCAATTAGAGTTTAACTTAGTAACTTAGTAAGTGTTACTAATAATTTTACTTATTGAATAACAGTTATTGAATAAAAATATAAATTAATGCTTATTAAAGTAAAAGAGATAACCATTGCCTCTATCAAATCTAGTCTGCATTTTTTTCCGTCCATCCACCATTTTTGTTATGAAGCTATATTATGCGACTGTGCTCTTTATTTTATATACATATTTACATTTATATATACAAAAATGTATTATATACTCTTATATAAAAAGAACAAGTTCGTACATATCCTTGCCTACTAAAGACTAAGTTTAGACTCTTTCGATTTTTTTATAAAGCTTCATACAAATATGATTAGCTACTTTTTCGTTGCCAGTATTGATTATTTGAATAGTCTGAAATGTACACGTCTTCCACTACTCTGACACGGAAATGTAGTGGGTGATGGTCAGAAACCATGGCTATTAAAGTATTTTTGTATATAGTATTTAACTATATGATAACAAGACTCTGCACACAAAGCACTTTTTAACCAACAAATAGCTGAGAGACAACTTTTCACACTTAATTTTAAATACAGGGTACTCCTTGCAGTCAATAGATGTACATCTGCTCAAATTCTCAGCTTTCTGTAACTGAGATTTGGCAGGCCAAGGCTAGTATTAAAAACTACTACTTTCTTATATCAAAACTATTGAATTTTCCCACGAAATATAACTATCGTTAATAGCTACTATTTTTTGAGTCGAATGATTAGAGGTATCAAGTAATTTAAACAACTCTATTACCTACTCATATTCCTCTCTCCAAGCATAGAGTTTTTTAACTGAATTTTTCAACTGATTTCTTCAACTCATATCAGGAAATACTTAATAGGAAATTCGATTTATTATAGCTACAGAATGTCTTCTAGACATAGTTTGGTATTTCCTGATATACTTGTATCAGTAAATATTTGCCAAAAAAAAATACGTTCTACTATCGAAACAGAATGTTTTCTATTATAGCTTAGATACGTTAAGACATTATTTATTGTGCCTTAACTATTTGCCATAGAAGCATGTTGTTTGGGCAACCCTGGAAATTGAAGTGGCTGTACGTTTCTACGGAAACTACTACCACTACCAACGAAGTTCCTTGAAGCTGCAATAGCTGCAATTGTTGCAAGCTGAATGCTGTTTGTTCTGTACTTTGAGATATCATTGTCTTAAAATAAGAAGTTACAAATCGTAACAGCAAATAAATTAAATTATTGGACTTCAAAACATCAGTGAAGGCGGTAATTATTCGAAGTTAACGTCAAACAGCGTTGAGTTATTCCAACTCATATATCAATAAATTACTTGAAGTACGAAAAGAGTCTATAAAAATAAAAACAAATTGAAATAAAAGCTTCATTATACACAAATACAATAAAAATTTCGAAATGAGTCAAGTAAGATTGCACATAAGCCCAGGTTTTGTGGGCCAGGCCGATAATAGCAGCTACAACAACAAATTTATTAAATTATACACGCCTAATAATATGCAATATGTTCATTTATTCATATTCTATTCATATATTCATTTAAAAAATTTATCATAAAGTTCGGTTTATTTATAAAAATTGAACAAATCTCATTTGGTGTCTTCAGCCATTCTTACGTGTGTTTTCGTATATAACAAAATATATAAATAAATGATAATAATCAATTTGTTTAGAGTTGAATGTTTGGTAAATGGACTTTGGGTTGAGTATCGAGGCGGAATTTCCCACTTCCTTGCTGTGTACTAAATTCGTAATTATTCCAAAATAACAAATTGCGCTCGAAGTTTATATTTACACAACATAAATTTATTATATGAATTTTCTTTATATATATTATTGAAAATATAAATATATAATTTTTTGTCTTTTCAGCTTTTCAGCGTAATGCTTTGGGGCTTATTTTCGAAAAGCAAGGTCAGAAACTAATGGCGCATCTCAAAAGTAACAACATCAGTTGCGTATCAAAACAGCAAGTATCTAAACGTAGTTATTGCTTTGGAATTGAAAATATCTGAATTGAACGGGCGTAATGTGTTCAATTTTTCATAATCGCATTAATTATCGTGGGCCTCGAAGTAATTCCAGCGGCAGCAACAGTGCCGGTGGGCTAACAAAGGAGCTTGATGCTGATCGTAACAACAATAGCGGTGGAAATGGTGTCGAAGTAATAGGCAATGAAATTGATGACATTGACGATGCTGCCATTATTTCGTTAAAGAATGACAGTGTGGAACCCGCTACTGACGAAAATCAAGACCCACAGACTAGTTTGAATAATTCAAATAACAATATGGCTACTGAAGAAAATGCGGAAGATGGCGATGAGGATAGTAATGAGGCTTTAGATCTTTCGGTTATATCGAATAGACTGCCCGCCAGTGGTCACGTTGCCTTGGAGGCATTAAAACATACCAAAGTAGCAGTGGCTCAGTTTGCAGCAACCGCAATTGCAAATTCACACAATTACAATGACGCAATCAATGACTTGGCAATGGTGCAATCCACAATATTCAATGTACAACGTCAACACTTAATGCAACTACAGCTCATACAGCACTTACAGAGTCAATTGAAACGTGTAGAGAGTTCTGTAACTGAAATAGAGGAGCTAGAACCAGAAAATGAAACAGATACCGAACAAATTGAAATGCATAAGTCCTCTGCCGGCTTCAATGAAAAGAATCATAATCAAACTTTGGAAAAATTAAGAAAAACACCAGATGCAACGCCTACCGTTGCTACTACACTTACAGAAAATGGTGAACAATTACCGCAGGCAATAAACGCTGAGAAAATAAAGACTGAAGACTTAAGTGCAATCAAGGAGAATACAGACATAGAATTAGAAAAGGAAGCAACGCAAAGCGTGAGTGCCACATTGCCCAGCTCTGTTGCATATCAGCCATTACTTTGCGATATAAGTTCGACATTAGCATCGAGCATCATAACCAATCATGATCCACCGCCAGCACCAAATGCACCAAACTGCCTAGAAGTTTTGCAACGGCGCACCGAAGAAGTTCTTGACTCAGCTTCACAGAGTCTGCATGCTACACAACTGCAGGAAGAGTACGAATATGCGCAAAAGGACGCACAAGGAAGAGGTGAAATCTTCAAGCATCGTTGCAAGTATTGTGGCAAAATATTTGGTTCATACTCTGCTCTTCAAATACACCTACGTTCTCATACTGGTGAACGACCATTCCACTGCAATGTTTGTGGTAGCAAGTTCACTACCAAAGGGAACTTAAAGGTACATTACCAAAGACACACACAAATATTTCCTCCCATATTATTAGGGCCTGGCACGACTGCTACGAACCAAGAGCAATACTCCCAATTTCCACCAAACAGTGCTATAATGAATGCTAGTGCACCCGCATTACCTATGAGATTACCCTACCAAACGCAAAGTGGCACTACAAAAGAGGCAGCTATTGAAGCCGAACAACAGCTACAATCAAATAATCATATTACTAAATCCTTGGAATCTCAAAAAATGATCACAAAAGAACCTCCAGTGAGGCTGCATTCACCGGTTCATGAAAATCCACAAGATTTAAGCAGTAAAACTAATTCAAATGAAAATTTGCATATGCATGCTTTTGAAGAATGTACGAAAAGCGCGCCTATACAACCGGAAAGCAAGCAGGACACTTTATCTGACAAGACCGAAAAGCCTGCTAATCCACCAGTACAGAAGCGCAGCAGTAGTTCCACTAAAAAACGTGGCATGCACATGGGTATGACAGCCAGTGATATGAGAGCTGCACATTCCATTCCTATAGATGATCGAGAGCATATCGAAAATGTACCAAAAATGTTTCGGCGTTCTTCCATTAGTCGAAACTCCAATAACAGTAGCATAGATCAACACATTTCCACAGAATTCTCTTTAGCACAAATGGAACGAATTATCGATAAGTCATGGGAGGATCTCATCGAAATTGATAAAACGTCAGAAACTTCAAAGCTACAACAGCTTGTTGATAATATCGAAAATAAACTTACAGATCCTAATCAATGCATTTTCTGTCAAAAAGTAATGTCTTGTCGCAGCTCATTGCAAATGCACATTCGAACCCATACTGGCGAACGGCCATTTCGTTGCAAAATCTGCGGACGAGCCTTTGCAACTAAGGGCAACCTAAAAGCACATATGAGTATACATAAAATCAAACCACCAATGCGTAGTCAATTCAAGTGTCCTGTTTGTCATCAGAAATTTTCCAATGGAATCATATTGCAACAGCATATACGCATACATACAATTGACGATGGCGGTGGAGGTGGACTGCCACCTAGTATAAGTGGTGCCTTGAATGCCGCTGGCATGAGTGTTGAAGCATCCGCAGCTGCAATCGCCGAACATAATGCTCGCATTAAGGCTCATATTGACGCCGCTGCCGCTGCTATAGAAGATCAGAACTCGAACAAATCCATGGGTGCGTCAGATAACTTCGATTTTTCCACAACTTCAGACTACTCGGGGCAACGTTCTGAATCCTCACAAGGCGATTTCGATGACTTTATGACCATGGACAGCACGGATGACTCGCGTGAGAATTCCAATTCGCAAACGCCACAAGACCGTCGTGAGGAATACGATGAGAAGCATGACTCAGCCAGTGGGCATGACAGTGTAGAAGTGCAGAATGCAATGGACTTAACATCTGCACGTGGATTCAATGGTTTGAATGGTATGCCGCAGAAATCATTAGAACACCTACAGCCTTTCGGTATGCCACCAAATTTTTTACTAATGGCAGCAGCTCGCGAAGAAATGCAAGCACTTGGAACGCACCCAAAATTTCCGCTACTACCTTTCGGACCTCTAGGCTTCATAGGTAGGTGACATTATGATTTATGAATGTGTTTTTTTTCAAACTTGTAATAAAAGAATATAGATTATATTTTTTAAGCATAAAGAAATTAAAATTTGCGTAGTGAGTTTACATTGGAATTCATTGCTTTACTTACTGTTTTTTTTTGTTTTTGTTCGATTTTTATATATAACTTAATTTATATTGTAACTTCTTGCAACATTGTCACTCTGCTACCCGTTGAAGTTGTATTTATTCTTAATGTCATTTTGGCGTACGCCACACCAGATTCATGAAAATGACAAAGATTTTCCGTCTGTCACCTTTGACCTTTCACAAGCACAGTATTCAGCATGTGCGTTTCAGTAACGGGAACAAGCAAATTTTTTTCGCTTCGATACAGAATAAAGAGTTCTGCAATAATCTGCGTTGATGTTTCGGCACTGAAGAAGACGCAGCGACATAATTCAATTGGACCCAAACAAAGAATTCGTGACGGTGCCATATCAATTCTAAAAATACATATGCTTTAAATATCCCATAGATATCTCTTTAACACACTTCTCAATATATGAGTTTGTATGTGAACAATTCGATGAATTACTTAGCTTCAACGATTTAATTTTCATTTACGCGACATTATGTCACAACGTGTTACTTTTAGAGAAATTTATGACCATTCAGCGTTGCATCAAAGATAAAAGTCAATTTAATTAAATTTTTTTTAAAAAAAGGCGAACTCAAAACAAAAGTTTCGCTTGAAAATCTTTAAGTTATTTAATATAAGAAAATCGCATGGAAAAGAGTCTTATTCTGATTTTTAATATATATTTTATTTTATGTGTCATGTCTCATGTCTCAGTCTCAGTAGAAGTCAAAAAAGACTTCTATTATTGTGTTCTGTGATGCCACCCCATAAATATTGATCTAACATTTCTATTACTTATTACTGCTAAGAAAAGAGTATTTAAATTTTTAGCCCAAAAGATCATCCGAAAATACCGCCAATAAATTTGTTGCAAAAAAAAAAAGATTAACAATCAAAAGGTATTTTATAAATGTCTTGAATGAGTCTGTCCTAAGTCGAAGTAGAGTTCTTAATATGAATGTGATCCTGAAGATGAACCATATGACGAACGTCCAAAAAGTCGTCAATGAGAGAAATCGTTGCAACAGTTTTTTGCGGTTTTGATAATCGTTTCGAATGATCATCGCTTGGTCTAATGATATATAGTAAAAGCTCTAAATTATTCAGAAGATACATTAAGCAATATTTTATATCAAGATAAGGGTTTCTAAAAGCTGGGTGCATAATTGGCGCATAAACGATAACAAAGATATACGAAACGGAATGTGCAACAACTACAGTATTTTAAAGATGATAATAAGAATTTTGAACATATTTACAACACTATGAAAGAGCCTTATATTGAAAGCGTTCAAGTAGATGGTTGGTTGAGTGATTGCAGGGTACATTAATAACACATTCCACGTCAACTAGTTAAATTGACTTAGTATAGCAATTTTTTTGTTCTTACTGATGAGCAGTCTGATAAAGCTAAAAAAGCACTCTCTAAATATGAGTTCCTTCTGTTGGCTAAAGCAGTCACAAAAGAAAATGTGGGATTTTCTTTTCGTTCAAGTATCCACAAAGTCTATAGAAAGTATTGAATAGAACGTACAGTTTCTTTGCATTGAATCCTATATATCAATAACCTGAGAGAACTCGGTATGAACTCGGTCTCTGGTTATAAGTTCTTTTGACCTGGTCTGATTGTATGTATACCAGAGCTAACGGCAGAACGTGTAGAAATATACCTCTTCTAACGGTCTCTATGTGAATATATACCGGTAACCCTTGGGAGATGTCTAGATAAGCATCAAGGTGGGTTAAATTGTCTCTATTTTTATTATTTTCAATGTTCCTATGACGGGGAACCTATAAAATTGTTTACAGAGTGTTGCTTGTAAATTATTATTTTTAAATATTATTATTTCTTTACAATGCTTAAAAAAAACATCCTCCTTATGTTGCGCTCTTCTTGTAATTCTTTTATCAAACTAAATATTTCGAATTTTTGAAAGTAAGAGAGTAATATTTATATTTATTACCTTTAATAATTTCATGTGATATGCACATACATAATTTGTTAATACCATAATCTTTCACAGGACTACATCCCCCTCCACATTTTTGCAACATCTGCTTTAAAATATTTCCAAATCCCGCAAGTTTGGAAAATCATTTTCAGTCAGAACATACCAAAGATACTGCAAATGCAAATACAAATGGAAGTGAGAATGGGAATGGAAGTCGCAGTAACAGCGATCCAACATCACCGTTTAACGCTAAGGTAAGTGAAATCCTTTCACACTATTAAAATAGAACTTTACTTTTTACATACTTAACATATATAGTAATATTAACTAATATACCTACATAGATAATGATTTATTCGTTCCAAGATACATACTATGTACGCTTAGTCTTGACACACTCGCAAATCATACTAATTGCCTCATGTTGCAGTTAAGCGTTCAATCCTTAAACGTTAAGTTGTAGCCCCAGCACGGCACATGCTGCTGCCACACAATATCTTCCACTCTTGTAAAATGGAAATCGTTAGCCGTATTTGTAGTCGGTACATTTCTCATGTGAATATTAACAAATGACAACTGACATCAAGTCGGCCTAACGTCGTTATTTTTTCCTCTAACTCACGTTTTCATTAAAACAACTACGGAGTGCCTTTGTAATCATAGAAGCAAAAACTGTGTGCGCGCTTCTATGTCTAGAAATCATTAATTAAATGTTCATATTACGTAGATCTCAATAGCTTCATATTTGTGCAGTTGGATTCCATTGCAGAAAAAGATGTCTGTCTGTTTGTTACCAATCGTCTCTGTTCTTAATTCATCTTATATATATGTCCATTCATGTTGAAAGAGAAGTATGAAAAAATGATGTAATAAATTAATTAAATTTATGATTTAATTAAATGATTTAATTACTAAATCAATTGAAGCAATCAACAAAATAGATTAATTTGTTGAACCTAAAAAAGATACCTGAGTTTTACTTTAAAGAACATTTGTTTGGGTCTGTGGTAGTGTTAGTTTGGGTCGGTACTCAATTTTGAATGTCACTGAAATTATTAGATTTAATTTAATTTAATAATCTAATTTAATAGTATTCATGAACAAAGTATTGTATTTTAACATTAAATTTACAAAAATAATTGTGATGCATCGAATGACATTTTGAACTTTCTGCGTAACAAATTGTAATATTACACTGGTCCTGTTAACTACTATCTGTTATTTTCATCTTCATCACCATCTATACCACCAACTACGCTGCCATCAAGACTACTATTAAAATTCTCATCTAGACTACCATGAAGATTACCATCAAGATTCCCATTTAGACTACCATCAAGACTACAATTAAGATTATCATCTAGACTACCATCAAGACTACCATCTAGACTACTGTAGAATTTTAAGCTAGCTGTGTCATCTAGATTTGTCTGATAGCTTTTGAAACCAAAACAACGTTTAGAATTTTTTGTAAAAAAATATATAACTTCACCGAAAGCAAGGAAAGACTGAACAAAAACACTATAGTGGCTTTGCACCATAAATGGTTCAATAATGGTTCTCTCAATTCCGTTCTAGTTGTAGTAACACAAGTCACATTGAAAGTTTAGGTCACCCAACAGGACTTGTTATGCCAGTAATTGTAGATGAAATCCTATACTATGGACAATAAATTATAGATGATCTCAATTGAATGGGTAGATTTTGGCGCCTTTGTTCACTTGATCTAGAGCTCAACCGTAGGGCTCCGTTTAAAGATGCTTAACCGCAGTCGGGAAAAACTGTGTATAAAGATTGTATTAGGAATGGAACGAATTATGTTTTAATTTTTTTTTAGCCATTATAAAACCTCAAATTTGTTAAACCATTGCTTTATAAAAAAAATTTATGGCGTTTTTTGGACAATACTACACAAAATTAGTCAAAAATCAAATAGGATTTTATTTTAACTCGAAATAACCCGCGATTATCATAGGTTACAATAGTTCTGGGCAGTACTAGGTTAATATATACCTAAAACTTTGCACTTCTTTTTTGAAAACTTATTATTGAAAGTTTCCAATGACTTTTGTGGCAAAGCTAATGTTGAATTGAGTTAGAGACTTGATAAAAAATTTTATATTCAAATACATAGGACATGTATCAGTTATAGCTGAAGAGCTATTGTAGAGACTGGATCAATAACTTAGAATTATTTTATCCGAGAACTAATATTTGTTACAGATATTTTATTTCTCATTAGCAAAAATTCCTTATGCCATGTTTTTGGTGTTTGGTGTTTGCAGCTATGCACAACTCGTCAATAGATGAGTTAAGCTGCGGCTAAGGTTTGTTTTAATTATGTCGTAATGTAGTAAAAGTGAAAATCACTTCGCGATGGTTTGTGGCATAATAATAATTTTTTCAGATTGCCTTTGTCAAGACGTCTGCATGGATGGATGTGTGTATATTGTTACATCGCCAGTGATATGTGCTAACCTTAAAAGGATATTTGTGGCGTTTGTTGGTAATTGATTGTGCGTAAATGCGTTTTCCTTTGCGGTCCAAAATAATGCGTGTGTGCCCTGGCATTAAGAAAGCAATGCCGCAACCAATACAAAACACTGTAAATTATGAGTAAATTATTAATTACATCAATTCTGAGTAATTGCCGTTTGCTGCATCGCTCGTTTTTGGTACGTAGTTTGCTCCACTTTAGTTGGAAAGCGACTTTAATAAAGTGGATTTCTTGTGGTTTTTATTGCTTATTCGATTCGTTATTTCATAATGATGTTTTATTAATTTATAATCAAATCTATAAGATTTGAATGATGACACTTAAAATTAGACGATGTGAAATGCCAAATGACGTCATTGACATTTTAATTAAATAGTATCACTTTTACTTAATGGTACGACTAAAAAATTTGTAGCTGCATTTGTATTTATGCTGCCATAATACAGAATTTCCAACAAAACTTTTAGATATAAGATGGTGTGGACATATGACATGAAGACTAGAACTTAACTCTACTAGAAGAATTAATATAATAAAGCAGATATAGACTTCTGCATCTGTGGTGAATAAGTCCGATGACATCAAAAACTCTTTATATAGATCAAAATATTTCTAGTTTCGAACTAAGATTTTATAACTTCACTGTGGCATGTAAAACCAAGTTCGTCCATCATGACATTGATAGGACTATATAGCTTTTTCCTAGTCAAAATCCTAATCCTTTTTCCTAATCGCAATCAAGTACAGAAAAGTTTCTTTCGTGTTGGACTTTTGTTTTTTTTTTCGTGACTGAAACATGTATTAAGTAACGAAGAAGTAAAGAAGAATAGACTAGAATATATATGGACTACATATAACATATAAACAGAATTGAACAGAATTGCAACAAAAAATTATCATTTATTTTTAATTAATAGTATTTCTTGACTGACCATTATCAGTGGTCTTGGAGTTATTTCTTATATTTAGCTATTTTTTTGAGAGTCCAAGTACAGAGTGATAAAAATGTTTGTTGTTGCAATTCAATACTATTTGAAACCTTTATATTAAATATAGTAGTTTCTGTTAAGTAAAATAGTATAAACTAGTCATACACATTAAATATATAGAATATATATTATATATTGCTGTTGGCTCACTGCAGAGAAACAACGAAACAAGATCTGACGTATATCTTGTTTTGAAGCTATGAATCATTAAAAGGATTTTGTATTACTAAGCTGAGCTATGTAGCATTTTTCATACAAAGTTTTACAAGTTTTTTTATTTTGGGCAGTTGAAGACTTGTGTCCAAAATTTTATAGTTGAAAATGATTGGCTATAAATTACAGGTTTTTAAGATATTAGTTTGTTATATTTAGTAAAATTACTGTAATTAGTTAAAAATATTTATTTCACTTATTTAAACCAATTGTTTAAGTTTTGAACCTTATAATAAAAATACAATTTTTCATTATCTTTTTTTTTGAATTTTGAATATATTCTTCATAGAAATGACATTAAAATTTTATTAAGTTTTTATGTGACAAACACGTATTAAAGTATCTTGAACGATTTCATTGCAATAGATTTGCCATGCGATGAGTCACCACAACTGCAACCAATAAAAGGCATTTTATGAAGAGATATTTTGTTCTAACAAAAGTGCTTAAATAAATTTAATTCTAAGCGTTTAGTGAATTAAATGCAATTAAATTTGTAAAATATTAAGAACAATTACATTCGCACTAGCAGCGTTAAATTGATTTCAGAAATCAGCATTTTTCACATAAAACAATTTTTGAATATTAAAACAATAAACATTTAGGAGCACTGACAAAAAAAAAGCAAAAAAAAAATATATATAATAAAAAGATAAAAATTAAAAACTTTTATTTGCTTGACATTTCATTTTAAGAATTTATGACCGCACGCAAATAAATCACTTTTACAATTTACCCCCCAACAGCCCGCTTGACGCAAGCATAGAGCAGCTATAGAACACTTAATCGTGAAGGGGTATTAATGATTTCGACCAAATACATACGATCACATTTTATTATAACTAAAATATATAATGACGACACACTCCGATACATTCTCGGAGTGGCGTTTCTGATATTTACGAATTCTGCGACATTCCCATGCTTTGTTCTCCATTTAAAATGCAATTAAAACTTTGGGTTTTAGCACGAGGATTGTTCCTGCCTGTCCCTGTCCCTGTCCCTGGCGCTGCGGATGACAACGTTAGTGCAGCAGCAGTGGCATGTGGCAGATAACATATGATCGTGGGGACAACTGCAATTCTATGTATTATAACTAAACTTAGTTGAAAAGTTGGAAACTCGTATAGAACCAACAAACAGTCACAAATATGTTATGATTTTCAACAGACAAACACGCGTCTGTTTATGCCAAAACATAAACTAAATATTACATTTAATGAAATAATGAAAAGTGCTTACATAGCTATATGGCTTCAGCAGCGCTGACAGACTGGACAGACAGCGAGCAAATGTATCTATGCTAATGCATCTATGCAAATGCATCTATGCAAATGCTTGTGCTAACATTGCTAGCATACACCAAGTACGAGTATGTTAAGCGAAGAGTACAGACAACGACTGCACTGCACATAATCATACCTTGTGAGATACTCAAATAATGATGATGTTTAATTTGATATGAAAATGTATCTAACATTAACAATTTCATATCGCATTAGCTGTAGTGTGTGTAGTGTGTGTAGTCTGCTATGTGTATCTTTATAGATGCGTAGATACTAAAACATACTGATGTGTATTATCGCCGCATAAAAATGCTTGCGATTACAATATTGTGTGTCTATGACTAATGACATCGTTCATTATTTTTGCATTTTTGGAATATTTCCAAAGGAGCTACACTTGAAGGCTATAACGCAAAGCACGAGTGGCACTTGAGGCACTTGAGGCATTTTAGGCGAATTCGCACATTCTTATTAATAATGTTGCACATTAGAATGTGTCTAGTATGTCGCTCGATTATGCAACAGATATAGGTTTATATGAAAATTATTGTTGTTGAAATTATTTATAAAAATTTTTCATTTTAATATGTGCACTTCGTCGTTCCCATGCTAGAGTTTGTGTGAGTGTCGCCAACTAAAGTACACTTTGTTGAAATATTTTAATTAATTTTAGTAAGATTTACAATACTAGCGAAAATCTTAAGTATGCATATTCATAATTAAAATGTACTCAACGAAAGAATATTATTTTGGCAAATTAATAGCACAACATATTTTATGGTAGATATTTTTACTTAATTAGTTCTGTTCTACGCTGCAAAAAAACGAATGCTCAGAATGCTTAAAATGTATTCGAATAAATTTTTTTAAAATTTTTGTAATTATTAAAATATATTTACGCCATTGTATTTTTATATAGTTGACTTTCAATTCAAAATTAAATAGATTATTAATAAGCAAAATACAGACGTTGACCTTTTTTAGTACTCTCCCCTCTCCTCTCCTCACTTGTTTTAGGTTTTAGGTTTGGACATAATAGTTCTTTTAGGTTGTAGTATACTATCCCTTTTTCATAATAATGTTTTAGGTTATTTCTTTTAATAATAAACACTTTACTATAAACAGTAACTTAATAGTAATTAAAATGTTGTTTAAAGTCCCTGAAAAGATTTTGCAAGATTTGGAATGAACAGGTAAGGTGGCTTTTCAGTTTGAGATGACTCTTCCACTGTATAATCCACTGTGATAATATACAACATAGAGCACATCATAGGACATAGGTTAGGTTATACTGGCAATCCCAAGGGTTGCACTCAGACCTTTTGGCTCAGTGTGTTACCGTATAATTAAAGACCCAAGAGTTAGAACCACTTAGAATTTTTGCCATAATTTAATATGCCATTATAGGACATACGTGTTCAAAAAGTAAAATAATGTAGTGAAGCATAAATCAGAGAGAGCATAATAGAAAATGTGTTTGAGCACTTAAAGAGTGTTGTCGAGTACAATACAGTGAATAAACAAAAAGTATATCTATTATGATAATATTACTTATGAACGAGAGTATAGGAAAGAAATCTTTGAACAGTGTGAAAGAATGTAGGAGTGTACATAACTAAGAAAAAGTATATCTATTACAATAATAATATATAAAATAAAGATATGAACATAGAACAGAAGGGTTAAAGAAGTGATAGAATGTAGTGCAGTATAAACTGTAGAGGTCATTAGATTGAAATCTTTGAGCACTGAATGAGTGTAGTTAAAAATATTTGAAAAAATATTTATTAAGGTTAGAGCTTCGAACCCAAAACGTTAACCAGTTCTGTTTTGATTTTAAGTCTAAGAATAGTACCGAGTTTTGTTTTGAGTTTAACAGGAATGAAACCAAAAATCTTCCAAAAAGGAACTGTGCCGATGGTTTGATAATAGTGTCTTACTTATTTTTATACAATAAGTAAATTGTGCAGAAATTGACATGATATAAAGACGATATAGATAGTTTTATTCTTTGGCTTGGCAGAAATGACTTAAGTGGACTTATTGGATCTCGTTAGCTTTATCTAATATATTAAAAATTTGGATACGAGGATAACAGTTGTTAATATAATTCAACTATTTCAACTTATAAACACATCACAAAAGTTAATAAATATTTCCGACAGTAAGTGTTGATAGTTAGTTCTCTCTTTCTCTCTCTCTCTCTTTCTCTCTCTCTCTCTTTCTCTCTCTCTCTTTCTCTCTCTCTTTCTCTCTCTCTTTCTCTCTCTTTCTTTCTCTCTCTCTCTTTCTCTCTCTCTCTTTCTCTCTATCTCTTTCTCTCTCTCTCTTTATCTCTTTCTCTCTTTCTCTCTTTCTCTCTTTCTCTCTTTCTCTCTCTCTCTTTCTCTTTCTCTCTCTCTCTCTCTCTCTCTCTCTCTCACTTACTCATGTTCTCTTGCTCTCTTTCTCACAACCTAATCAGACTTCCAATTCGGGTTCAGTTTAAGCAAAATATTAAATAAGAAAAAATTAGTTAAAATAGTAATATTCGTTGGTAGTAATTCCACAGAATTAAAGGATTAATCACATCAGTGATTGATTTCATATTTATAATTTTGTAAAAATAAGTTTAGCTTACACCAAATAAAAGAAATGTCCCATACTTTTGACATCTAGGAAGTATCTTTCTTGATTGTTTGTTCAGTGCATTTTGTCAACAAGCGTCAATATGGTACAAACCATAAGTACAGATTTCTTCAGTACTTGGGCACACATTTGGGATTATTTGGTCATAAACTCAATAAAGTTTGCCAATTCTCTGCATTCAAAAGAAATGAAAAATTCTATGTCCTATAAAAAAAATTAAATTTTTATAAAATATAAAATAAAAGCCAAAGTCAACAGTAAATAACATAAACAAAAATGTTTTTGTTGGCACGAGAAATACTTCATGTAAAAAAAAAACAAGACATAAATGAATTAAAAATTTTGAAAAATATAGTAATAATTGCAGATAATTACACTAAATTAAACAAATCATTTATAAAATATATTATTTACATAAAAATACGTATATATGTGCAATTATCATAAATTATTATTGGATATCGATTATTATATATGAAAGAAGTATATACATACACATATTTGTATATATGTTTCTGTTACAGAAACATAGTGCAAAAAATTCAATACAAAAATAATGTCGCCAGTCATTTTTTAAATCAAATATAATTTGTTAAAAAATAAGTTATTTTATAAGAGTAATTAATGCCGATAAACATGCATTAAGATAAATGTTGAACTATTATCAAATGCCCCACGTAGTTTTTTGTTGTTATTCGTATATAATTTAATTCACATAGCGCACTTTTTTCAAAGCACATTAATTAGAGTGTTTTCTATTACTGGAACTATGTAGATACTAAGAGGATGAACAATTTTGAAAATAAATTTGATATATATTTGTTATATTCGAAGCAGGTAATTGTACTATACACTAAAGAAATAATAGTCCTATCGCTGTCTTTATGTACTTCATATATATATATATAGATGAAACACTATTTTATTTTTATATATCGGTTAGTAATAGAACCGTGATCCAACCATACATATTATAAGTTTGTGCATAAATATGTGTTTTGGTTCGCATTGCTTAAACACCCAAGACTTTTATATTATATATATTATATTATACTTGTTATTTATTATATATGAAATGTCAGAAGTTCGTTCAAGAAATAAATTCACAGTTGTGAGCGATTGGTCGAAATGTTATCAAATTTTGATTCATAAGTATTACATTTTTGGAACGACAATGAGAGCTTCACTTTCACGTTTCATTAAATACAAATCAATTCTCTTTCAAATTATAAGTTGTTTATTATAATATTTATAATTGACAAATATTATAAATATTCTATTAAATGATTTTAATATCAATATGACGGTAGTGACTATTTTACTTAATAGAAACTATGATTTTAGATAGAAAGTTTTTGAAAAGTAGTGAACTATAGTAGCAAAAATTCTGTTTATATTAATTTAATTAATTGAATCAAATAATTTATTTATTTACTTTTATATAATTTATTTACTTACTATTAATTATTTAACTAATTAGCCAATTAATTAATTAATTGGCTGACCATACAGCTGTTTCGAGTATTATCAAAGACCCAACAATAGTGTTCTTGAAATTATTAATATTTTATTATAAAACTTATAATATTTATAACAAGCAAAATACCATATAATATAGTATTTAACATTATAGTCTTTTTATATGATGAATTCTACTACAATATCGTACTGTATATGCATTTTCTAATACTCAAATATAAATTTATCTGATTTTGAATAATTTGATAACGTTAAAAAATATCTGTACTATATAGTATATATAATAATGCGTTGAATGCTCTCATTGCTTTGAAAATGCAAAGTTAGTGAGAAGCTTGCATTGGTAGGCAGCATAATCATTAATCTGGAAGTAATTCTGAAGATACTCTAGTACATATTAATTTGTTAATTTATTTTATAATTCTTTTTAATTAATTGTCTGAATTTATTTTTTAATTTTATTGATTTTGATTGATGATATGAAATGCATGTATTTTATTTTTAAGTTTTTCACTCTTATTTTAAAATTTATCTGTTATTTTTATCTGCCAACATTTTGAGTTATAAAAAAAAGTCAGTTTTTTATTTGTTTATGAAAACATTGAGCTAAGTTTTGCTGAAATAAAATTAAATTTACTTCATGTTTCATTAATGTAAAGAAGTGCAAATTCTTGTCGTAATAATGAGTTTTCCGGCCTGGTTGTCTGCAACGGTACGAGTTGAATCAAAACTCGCACATATCCACAAATTAAGTTAAGCAAATTGTCTGCGCTGCCACGTCATGAGATACAAATTTCAACCGAAAGTAAGCAAAAAATCACTTTATGATATTAATTGTGGGCTTACAAAACATGTTTAGTAATTTAGCATTAACGCCACATTAAAATGGAATTATGCAAAAAATTTGCCATATAGCGATTGTACACATTAGTAGTATTTCTAGCATAACAACAAAGTTGCTACTCGTACATATAAATACTTATATTTTATATGAAATTTGTAGAAAGTTTAACTACAAAGTGAATTGTTTATAAAAGCCATTTTACCGCTTAGAAGTTCACAAAAAAATTCTATTTTCTTCAGCTCACGCTTAATCCCAATCTCTTTCATAAGAAAACTGAAAATGACGTCAATGAAATCGAAGCAGCACATCACAATCCAAGCAAAAGTTCTGCATACGAAAAAGGCGTTAATTTCGACGACTTCAATGCGGAAGAACGCAGTACTGCGAACAATTCCCATTTGAGTGAACACATCAAACAGGAACCAAATGCAGAGGTTGATTCACAGCAATTATCACTGGAGGATTGTACAGAAACAGAACAATCATATCAGCAGCAGAAACATTTAGAGCAACATCAACTACAGCAGCAAAACGAGCGCAACGAGCGAAACGAGCGGCACGAGCGAAATCATAAACAACAACAATACAGAAAGCATGAAAATCAGCATAGCTATGAAAAGCAGCACCAACACCAACACCAACACCAACACCAGCAGCAGCAGCAGCAACAGCACCAGCAACATTTAGCTCAGCAACATGCAGATGCGGAGCAGTCGCTCATGAAGATGCAACTACGTAAGTGACATTAACTGAAATTTAATTTCTTTTTTTCCATATCTGGTTTTTGCGTTCGTCCGTTTATTTTTGGCTTTTATTGAAGCTTTTCTTTTTCGCATTATCTATTTTGAAATTTTAACTTATAGTATCCTCACTTCCTCATGAAACCCATAATGCTTTACAAAACTCAGATGCACATCGCTTTCCGGCAAGTCCACTCGATTTTCAGCAAGCTTTGTTGTCTGTTGCTCCACCTAATTCGAATTTGGAACCGCCGATCAACAACAAGCATTTCTGTCATGTCTGTCGTCGTAATTTCAGTTCGAGCTCTGCATTGCAAATCCATATGCGTACCCACACTGGTGATAAGCCCTTTCAGTGTAATGTCTGTCAGAAGGCATTTACCACAAAGGGCAACTTAAAGGTAAGCAACATAACAAAAACAAACATTTTCTATAAAAACAATTCGTACCAGTACTGTGTGGGTTTGTCTGTCTGCATTTCAAAACTAAAGTCCTAAATTGAGATCTAGAGAGTTTAAAACTAATATGGAGAAATGTATAAAGGTAGGAATAGTTACTTGTGTTCATAAATTAAATACTGTTTAATAGAAATTACAATTTCTATAAGATTATCCTTAATCCCTGTAACTCTTAAGTGCCATAGGTAATTATTCTTTTCTTTTCCCAATAGTTCTAAGTAGAAAAATAGATGATAATTAAAAAAAATCCGGAACGATACCACGAATACCTTAAGGCGATCAAACATTTAGTCAGAGGTCGGTGTACAGGGCTGAAGAACAGCCACCCCAAGTAAATCGGAGGACTATATTTATTCACATTTATTTTGATAATCAATGTAACATGGCTGTTTAAAAATAGAACTTTTTTTAATATTTAAAGTAAGGGAAAGGCATTATTTCTTTCCCGCTCAGAAGTAAATATTTGACTTCAGTTGCATCATCAATTTCGTCTTCAAACTAAAGAACTTAGAACTAAAGGTTATCTTATGGGAATCATGGTTTGCGTTACCATCTCAAAAAGATTAGTTTGTTGTTGGAGATAGAACGACTGCTCATTCAAACGAAAAGGTTCTATTGTTTGTTTGCTTGTCGATATCGTAACGTCACTATTTGAAATTTTTTTGTATAAGATTTTGATCACAGACTTTTTGTGAAGCTGACAAATGGATAAAAGTAATTTATAATTATGCTAGCGCACATATATAAGATTTTGATCACAGACTTTTTGTGAATCTGACAAATGGATAAAAGTAATTAGTAATTATGCTAGCGCACATACGATATATCTGCCGATATATAGTTTGTGGTTTGGTTTAGTTTATATGTGGTTTGGCCTTCACACTTAACAATTGTTGCAATGTCATTTAGAAAATTTATTATTAGTAAATAATTGATATGTAACACAAGACTGCAATATATGTAAGGGGTAAAAATGCCTAGCGAAGCTGAAGAAGTGTATATCTTTTGAATAATCTAATAAGTTATAGAATTGTGTGAACCAATGTTTTCTTACGAAGTGTATATGTCCTATGGAGGTTGTGATTTGATTGCTAAGGAGGACAATTCAAAATTAAACTTGATCGTGTACTTATCCTATATAGTAAGTAACTAAAGTGACCCCGCATTTATCACAACAGTCCGACTGTTTCGCTGCATTTCATTTAAATTTGTTTCGTACTTTGGTACTTTAAAATTGTCCGGTATCGTTTGCGTACAAATCAGAACTATACTTTAATATTAGTGTACATATGTAGCTGTTGGGTTACTAGTTGGAGAAACCCACAAAAAATATTGTTTGATTTTTAAATCGTTAGATCATTTATCGTTCCAAAAAAGATTAAGACTCGATTGCTTTTACTGTAAATCTCCAGACTTCTCAGACTTCTTGAAACTATTCAGTTCAAGTCCGTTTGCCTTATTGAACCTTTCTTGTGAATATTATGTAGGTGTACGTAGAAGTACTGAAAAATCTTAGTTGGAGCGTGTTGCATTCTTTTCTTGACAAATGTCCAATCTGGTGGCTTTAAGAGAATGCAATCGGTTAATGTTTTTTGAAATTGATATATTATATGATAAACAAAGAAACAAAAAATACCAAACTAGCTCAGTACAGTTTAGATTAGATTAGATTTTGAAAAGTTTGGGAACTATGTCACCACGTCACTACATCCTTTGAGGATTATTGTGACAAACCCACTTCAGTTTCAAAAGCGCGTAGCAGTTAAAAATGCCACTATGTCCCTTAGACATATGTTGCCTATTTCCGTTATAAGTTGATAATAGAATAATATAATAGATAATAGATAATAGAATAAGTTCTGCTGTTTCATCTTCTTTAGTACACTTTATCAAATCAAATTTTCCAATTGTGTTGTACTCGTTTATAACCAGAAAGCTCTCAATTTTTTTTCATATTTTTTAATATCTAGCTAAGTTCTCATAGTTATTTAATTTTCTATCGAATAAACAGGGCAAGTAGCAGTTATAGATCTTAGCACCTTATAGCCAAGAAATGCCTTTCAACTTAATTGCTTTTAAGTGACTTAAACGATTTCATAACTAATGAATCTTTTATTATGCGACCCTCTATTATAACCCGAATGTTTATCAATGTTTATAATCGGCCACAACAGTTCTTTAAATTCGAAAAGTAGTTGGGTGTACCCAGAAAGACAGACAGACACTACACCACATGTCAAATTTCTGAGCATACAAGCACCTACGTAAAACGCACACAAAACTCTTTTCAGGTACATATGGGAACACATATGTGGTCAAATCCAACTTCAAGACGTGGCAGACGTATGTCATTAGAGTTACCATTGCATAGACCAGGTAGTCTACCACCAGAACCAGATTTTATACAGCGAAGACCAGAATTATTTTTCCCCTATTTACCACCATTTTTCAATGGGCTACCGCCAAAGGTAAGTACCAAAAGCACAACTTTTTACCCATACCATAAAATACTGTTTTATATTGGAATCTGAAACAGCCTGGAGAAATAAGTCCTGGTGCTTTTCCAAACATACCACCACCACACTTTCCTAATGGCACTGCACCAAAATATCCGCCAGGTCTTTTAGGATTTCCACCATTTCTAGGAGCACCATATAACTTTTCAAATATGCAACAGTTGGAACGACTTAATAACACCGCTTCACCGACGACAACATTAGATGAGTCGAAGCGTGAAGACAGTCCGAAATCAGTTTTGGAACGTTCAGCTTGGAATGCATCTATAGGGAAAATTAAAACAGAAAACAATCAAAATGATACGAGTGAACTGAATGAAGCGAATGATGGAACGATTGCAGATAATTGAAAACAAAAACAGAGAAAAAACTAAAAACTGAAAAACTGAAAAACTGAAAAATTAAATTTAAGTAGAAAACCGTAACCGATTTTTTTGAAGAAAGGAATCTAAGAGGTATATAGCATAGTCAAGTGTTGTATAGTTACACAATGAAAACATGGTTTTTGTGGAGTACATATCTAAAAGCACTTAAAAATTAAGCGTAGCCTAGCATAGCATAGCAAGTATGACTTTATGTATAATCAGAATAATGGACAACCATTAATAACGTATAACATAATCCGTGTCTAGTATCTATTAAAATTATACAAATATATAAAGTAATTAATAAAAACTATTATTAAGTTGCAGGCAACTGCGGCGAAGTTGTATAAAAACCAAAATTTTAGTCTTAAGCTTAATGAGTATACAAGTGACAAGTCTAGGAATGAGTATATAATTTAGCAGAAAGTAAACTGACTCTTGTATGAAGTTATATTCATAGGATCGATACATATACATTCATATATGATTTTGCGAAGATATAATATAAAATATTGTATTGCTAAATAAAAACTAAAACAAAACAAAAACAAAAACAAAAATATAATTTAATGTACGAGTATACTGTGGTAGTTGCAACTATATTTAAATGATAAACTTAATTTATTGTGAAAAATAAATAATATACATACAAATACAGAATAAAAACCAAAAATATATATGTGTTTCTTTTTCTTTTTTGTACTACATTATTATTTTTTGAGCTACAGATAACTGAAATAAAATAAATTAAATAGTAATGAGAATGTGAGGTGGTAGGTCAGTAATGAATCATTTTACAAACCGCCCAACCAACGTAAGTATTGAGTAAATTTATGGATTTATTACATGAAAATTGGCACGTTCCACATACCAACAACTTAAGTATGAATAGTTTATTAGCGCAAAATGTACACATGTGCTCCATTCTTTGCTCCATTTTATGGATCCATACGAAAAACCATAAAAATAATTCACGCACCCTACGCTAACAGTAGCTCAATAAATATTCCAAAAATTTTGTCTGCACTTAATATTGACTCCCAAATAAATGCGTACGCAATCATTAAGGGACATGTGTGCATACATCATCTTTAACACGGACTACTAAGTGAGACAGTGGCATTTTTTTAATTATATTTATAAATTGGCACTTGCCTGCAGCTTCATTTAAATTTAAGTACATATACATAAAAAAATAATTATTTCCCTTATGTACTCTGATAATGTATTTACTAGAAAATTAAACTGTTCTGCGGAATACAAATGACTTGTCTCGCCATGCCATGCACAAAGCCAGGCTCTGATAAGACTTTTCAAAGTTCCATGGTACATTACGACGAATAACATCCTCAGGGACATCAAGATTGATCCCATCAAAAAATACATAAAGGATAGAGCATTGAAATTATTTGCGAAAACTGACAGACTTACCAACACCGCGTTATCAAACACACCGTCAAAATGGTTACAGGCTCCTCGGAGAGGTATGCAGATCTGAGGTCAATTATTGCTTAGTCTGATGAAGTGATAAACAATAATCTAGTCAAGGTGTAGAGATGGGTTTTGAAGAAACCTCGAGTTAAAAAAGATTATAAGTGCTTAAGTGCACTAGCTCAAAACAGCTTCAACATAATAATAACACATAATAGAAAAGGCCAAATCTTCACTTAACAATAAATGTTATAATGCACTGACCTGGCCAATGAATTTAACGTCTGACATTAAAATTATTTTTTCAGCAAAACAAAACCTATTTCATTTAAATAATATTAACCCATACAACTGTTTATACATATACATAAGACTGGTTCCATAAAAATTCTTAGTGCAGCGACATCTGTGAATGAATGATGGTAGGTATGTAGTACATAGTCTATATACAGATCGTTTAAATTTGACCGGCAACAAACACTCGCGTGTTTTGTAACAGCGATACCAATGGAAGAAGAAATTGTAGCGCTAAACAGTCAAACGTATATGCTTTATATGGCTTCCGCCTATTCCTTTAATTAAAAGTTAATGAAAGGCAATCGGCTTAATAATATCTTGGTCATACCTTAACTGTTATGTTCTGACTGACATTTAAGGCAATTCTATCCAAGGAATACGAACACTGTTCGACGAATTATGTTAAACATATCCATCGTTATTTTGACTTAGCATAGGAATAAAAATAGAATAAACATTTCGAACTTGATCGAGACTACTCTCGTTCAAGTAGCGACTACTTACATTTTCATAAACTTTTTTAGAGCATTGGGTCTTTAAACCATAATTCATATATTATTCCACATATGCGTGTAAACGTGTCGAGATCAATGAGCTCCAATACATTTTATATTTTAAAAACATCTTACAACAAATTATACAATAGATAATACCTTAAAGCTTTATAGTAATCAGAATAATTTTAGTTTAACAGGTATTGCAAGACTTTCAGAAAATATTCCATTGTTTGGATCTAGAGAGGTAATTATTTAAGTAACTGCGTGATAGGCTCAACTGCTTGACTCTCATGTCTCTGAGAGTGCTATGATTTGCGAAGTAACGGTGAGGCTATGCCCGTTTAATACATAGTTATTTCATATCTCAGAGAGTTGACTTTCTATCACATTTTATTGTTTTCCTTGATTGTCTCCTATGCATCACAAATATAGGATGTGAGTGTTTATAAGACATTGCGTTGAATGTCCTTAGGCACAAATTGTAAAGAGTTCTGGTAATTTCCAATCTGCTTACAGCTGTCCTATTTCTTCCTCAGATGATTTAACATAACAAATTATGACCAAAACTTTGAGAATATTTATTAAACAAATAATACTTAATAACTAATTAAAGATGATGAGTTATATATATTATTGAAACATATCCAAAAAATAAATACTGTAGATTATCTCAGTTCTTTAAGGAAATAGAGGACAACATTGGGGAGTACTATATACTAAAGAAAAACTGTTATTTGAAACTATTTTGCAGTATATATCATCTGAGTCATAATTTTAGATAAAGCCAATTTGCGCTAAATAAATCTGTTAGAGATTACTTTAGAAATATATGTAAATAAATAAAATATTATGGCATATCTGCCCTTGTCACAACTTTTCATTTCAGTATTTTGCTTTTGTCTTCCGAACAGATGTGCTAAGTGCCGCGGAATTTTATTTAATCTGATTTTTTTATTTTTTAAATTTAAATATTTTAACATTTTCTTAATAAAGTTTTGCTCTTGTCACTCTGCTGTTAGTACTCGTACGACGCTGATGTAGCAGCAGATATACAAATTAAAATTTCTAGACCGAGACATCTTTATGTCTGCGTAAATATAAATTGGATTTTCATACGGAAATTTTTTCACTCTTCGTAAGTATTTAAGAAGAAATGAAATGTACATACACACATGTATGCATGTATGTATGTACGGTAAGTAATTCGTTAAATTAGATATTTAATGTAGATTCAATCATTTATAAATAATAATATATATATATAATATCAAGCAGTTTCAATAATTTCATTCGAATTTTGAAAAAGGAAATCATTTACGATGAGCTATATTCTTTGGACCCTAGTCGAAGGTTTATTTATAAAGAGGATCCAACCCACAGATTGTTGCTATAAATTTTTAAGTTTTATACCTTTGATAAAAATTAATTATTTTTATATATAAACTGAGACGAAGAGATTAAAATAATAATTTGAGTTTATTTTTTTTATCAAATTTCCATTATTTTTAATCATTTGATACTCACCTACTATTCGCTCTCTTTTAAAGCTATGATGATTTAATCTCTAGAGACTGATCTCGAGACATAGAATAAAAATCATATTAAAAATCAGAAAAGAGCCGAAAGTCAGTATGTATATCAATAATTGACTTAACTAATAATATTTTGTAACAGTAAACAAAAAATTTGTTTTTAAATAATAATATCACTACAAATCCATTGATGGAAGAACAGCACAATACCGTGAGTAATTAAAAAAATCAAAATAATTAAAGATCTGAAGCACTCCTCTATAAAATAAAAATATTCTTTAACACACTGTCACTATCATACATATAAATCTATTTTTGGAGGACACTAACCAGGATTCCAAAAAAAAAAAAATATTTTCTATTAATTGACATTACGATTTGTTTAAACATTATAAAACAATGTAGGTCTATTCAATATAAACTTTTCAATATAGAATACAGGATACAATGCAAAACTTAAACAGACAGATCGATTATTATGTATGCTCTCCAACATCACACTTGAAAATATTAGCACTAAAACAAAAACCAATATATAACAGTTCATCATTGATACATTCCGATGATAAATCAGAGTTAAATCAGAGAAGGGAAAAAAAGTACTTGTATTTAATGCCCAATATGACTCCGCATAGTTATTACCGATTATAAACTAAAACAATAAACGTTAGTTAAGGAAACATATTAAGGGTTAATACTTCCAAATAAAGCGTACTTAAGCACCTTAGGGGTTAGAACCTAAGTACGACACTTACAATAGTTGAACTTTATAAAACACTGATTGCACCGATCCGAATATGTGTAGCAAAATTAAAATATATTAATGTTTTTATAATATTTATAGTATTTTTTATAATATTAATATTAAAATATTATTTTAATTGTTAACATAATCAACTTTATTAAAAAAAGGATCGCATAACACTCTGAGTTTTAGAAAAGTCAATAAAGTCAAAGATCTGAAGAACAATTAAACTTTTCTGAAAAATAATGGAATATTGGCATTGGTTTATATACGGAAATAATTAAAAGCCGATAAAGTATCCAAGATGATGAGGCAAAAAAATATTTAATAAAAAACAATATAAAATATTGAATGCTCTCAAAAGGTTTCAGTAAGTGTAAATAGAATATAGAAATACGGATGCCACATCGATTTATATAATTCATATATATTGTATATTTATAGATTATGTAACAACAATACTAATCGGGAAATTAAGGTTCTCCGGGTCTATAATTAGAAAAGATAATAAGTCGCCATTACAATATACCAAAATTGCTTGACTCCAGCTATTTGAATAGTAAAACAGTATGATTTAATGGGATATGATTGTTTGAAATTGGAGAACGGTTTTGAAAAATTAGGATAGGTGCAAGCAAGTTCTGATGCAAGTAAAAACTCATTGTGAGTTTTACAGCCAAATATAATGATGTAGATAGGCGTTACTGTCATATCAAATGTAATAGTGATACGTAAAATCAAACTGATCGAGTCTTATATTAGTACAGTATTTATTATATTACTATATTTTAATAACCTTACCTGCCCGATATTAGTATATAGTATGTATTTTTAGTAACAAATCAATCAATTGACGATTGACAGATCGATCTGTTGTGGAGGAATAAGCATACATATACGCCACAAAAAATCTGTCATTATTCCTAGATTTTAAAATTTTTGCTGTCTCTGTTCAGTTCCTATGTAAATAAAAAATTTTCTAATATGTT